TCTCCACATACTCCATGCAGCTCTCTGCTTATTGTTTTTTTGATGTTGAAACTCAGATGCCCTCCACTCTGCTTCTGTGCTCAGGTTGGCACTTCCTCTTATACATTCTAAATCCCATCCCTCTCCCCAAGAGATGACTGAATCCAGTCCTCCTCTGTGCCTTGCCCCATCCCCACATATCTTGGTCCTCACCCTCACAGCCTTGTAGGGACCCCTAGTCTATCTATCTCCCCCAGATCTGGGGTCACTGACTGGTCCTAGTGTCTAGCACAGCACAGTGCCTGAGTAGGCACCCAGTTCAAGCCAATTTTAATGTGTATTCCCTAAACTGCAAGAAATGATCATTTTAATCATGGTTGTATTTCTGCTATCATTTCTATCACATTGATTTTCAGCGGTCCTATTGAATTTCATGCACTAAACATCTTACATTTTATTTATTAGGAATACTTGGCACATTGGTTTCTAGTCAGTCTTTTCTCTTTATTTTCCCTGTCAGGTTCTACTTTTTTTTTTGGTACTGGGGATCAAACTCAGGTCCTTGTGCTTGCAAGGAAGGCAGTGGAACCATTGAGCTAAATCCCTGGCCCTGTCAGGTTCTACTTTTGTGATGAATTCATATAGAATTACACAGATATTATGCCTCATAGATTTGCTTATATGGTTCTATTTGGGGAATTTCCTTCTTTCTTAATTGTTATTTTTCTTATTTGAAAGCTGTTAGAAGGAGAATATGTAGATAGGAGGTAGGTAGAAAAAGAGAAAGGAAAAAACAGAGGGAGAAGAAAGGAGGGAAGAAGGGATGGAGGGAGGGAGAGAGGGAGAGGGAGAGAGAGAGAGAGAGAGAGAGAGAGGGAATTTCTATATATAATCTTTAGCAGTTTTGTGCTAATATGTTTGAAATGAACACTACTTTTTGCCCCCTGGCAAAACTAGAAATATTTTTAACTTGAAGAAGGAAGTTTTAGTGTTTGAAGAGACATCTAATCTGCTCTGAGATTAACGTACTGGTCTGATTGAATGCTGCTGTGGGTTCTGATATTCTGATGTCAGGTAAAGTCATCAATAAACTGGTTAAGGAAAATGTTATACTGACTTTGAGTTTCTGAAAAAACAGTAAATTAATAATACTAACTAAATATGTCTTGGGCACTTTAGATAGTGACATTACTGTGTAGATGGCCCTCAGACAATCAAATTAGACAAAGTCAAGATCTTTGGAGACATACTTTTAAGGCAACACAAAGTTTTGTTTTTTGGACCAATGAAAGACTGATTAGCCAAAATTTGACATTTTGTGAGTTATTTCTCAAAACCAATGTCTTAAGAGACTGACTGATGAGCCAAATAAAATCCAGAATCAACAGGATGCAGTTGACTGGCAAGAGGGAGGTTGTCAGCCCTCCACAGGTACTAGTTTCACAGCTACCTCTTCCTGGATTCCCGGTACAGAGACAGGTAAGCCCTGCTATGCCTGGCTTCACCTCAGGAAGGTTTTGTGACCTAATGAACAAATAAGGTGTGGTGGGAACCTGAGCCCAGCTCCAACTGGCCAGGCCCTGCCTGAACGAACACCCAGAGACAGGATCAGCTGAAACAAGGCTGTGCCCAGGTGAGGACCAGGTCAGCACTTTGCTTGTGTTAGGCCAGAGCTCAGGTGAGTCATAGAAAGTTCACGTACCTCTGGCCCTCACCCATCCTACTTCTTTTGTTTAGTTGGAGAAGAGTCTGTCCTAGAAAACAGACGGGATTAACTGTTCCTGAAAACATGAGAAATCACATCTGATTTGTGTAGACGGTGGCTGGCTTTCTACATCGAGCAAAGTAAGGGAGGGAGAGTGGGTTGCTGCATTGGATAGCGGGGAGGGACCACCATCCTTCTGCTCTCTGTCCTCTGTCTCACTTGCCCTAGGTTTCTGGGATTTCTGTGGGAGCATGCTGTGCGCATATTCACAAAATTTCTGCCTTCCCCATTGGTTATAGGAAGGCTGCTTTTCATGTCTCCTCATTCTCCATCAGCTAGACATGGTCCAAGGAGAATCTGAAGGACCAGCGGATGGTAGAGCTACCAAAAGGAGGGGACCACTGTTTCTGAATTCCTTATAGAGGGTTTCTGCTGAATAGCCAATCAGACTGACTCGAGCAGAGCATAAACCACCATTAGGTCAAGCTGCTGAGATTCAGGGTTGTTTGTTATAGTAGTTAGATCATCTGACCATACCGAGTGGTTGCAGAATCTGACTTTGCAGGGGCCGACATACTCTCATTATTTGTGCCTCAGTTTCCTCTTCAGTAAAATGGCTACTGACAGTACATACATCAGAGGGGTGTGGTGAGGAATTTATAATAGTGTCTAGGACTCTGAAGTGTTGGTGACTACTACTATTATTGGTGGTTCACTATTGGCAGTACTTTTTTAGTAGGTCCACTATAACTGCTATAACTCTTACTTCTGCTAGAGTACTACCCTTCCAGTTGCTGTGGGGCTTTCTTTTGGGAGGAGGAAGCTCATGAGGAAAGTGGTTGCTCATTTTAAGTGAGCCTACCATGGGTTTCTTGCTTCATGAGAGGGAAAAACAGTTTCCTCCCTCCCTTCCTTGTCTTTCTTTCTGATGATGTGTTGCTGTGATGCCGAGCTGGCCTTGAATACTTGGCTCAAGTGATCCCCCTGCCTCAGCCTCCTGAATAGCTGGGGGCAGGCGAACACCACTGGACCCTGTCGGGTTGCTTGATCAGAACCTAATGTGAAGTATTAGCTAAATCCACAAAACAAGCCTGAGACCTTGTCACTCAGGGATCATGTACAAGGAACTGGTACATTTCCTATTGCTAGAGAAGCCAACTGCCACCTAATGATTTACAAGGAATTTAGAGGAGAGAGATCATCTTGGGTTATGAAGAAATCCATGAAGATTTCATGGACAAGCAATTAGTTATGCAGTTGTTTCAGCTCATTGGGAGCAGCAATCATACTAGGTGAATACAACAAATACTGAACATGACCCTAGAAATGTCATAGTGGCCATACAGTGAATTTGTCTTGTCAAGAGGGGTTTGCAGTATGACTCTTAGGTAATGGGGTTTTGAACAGATAATAATGATATAGCCAAATAGTCAATTAGCATAATTAGAACTATTTAACAGATAAGCTAGGTGATAGGAGGATAAAATTGAGAAGTGGAGTGTGGTAATTAAGAATGCAGACTTTAAAGTCAGACTGCCTGGGTTCAAATTCAGCAATTTATGTGATCTTCAGCAGTTTACTTAATCTCTCTGGCCTTTGTTTTTTTCATTGTTAAGTTGGAAATAACCATAATTCCTCTAAGGTTTAAACTAGTTCACACATTTCAAAGGTTTCAAATTGAATGACACTAATACTGCTGCTAATTATTATTGCTATTGTTTGAAAACATTGTTAGGTACTTTGGTCTGGAATAAAGCCATTTATTTCAAAGAAATTTTAAGCTTTATAACACTGAAAGAGAAACTTGAAGCTTCATGCCTTTGAACTCTCCGGAGGGGTTCAAGTGGAAAAGTGTTTGCCTGATTCCATCCTGGATCCATCAGCAGCATAGGAAGCCAAGTGTTCAGGGCCATGAGGATTTGCACATGGGTGTTCATACCCAGCCTTATGCTTGAAGACATTCTAGTGCCAACTTGAATGCTTTGTAAGCTTCTTTGCTGATAAAGAAGACAGAGAGTAATGAAAGAGTCTGGTAGCCAGGAGTGTAATGAACATATTGACCAATCTCTGAAGATGGGAAGAAGCCACTTAGACACTTGGACAATGCTTTTCTTTTGCCTCTCCCATTTGCAACTTTTCTTCAAAACATAATTTCAAACCATAAGGTGTGGTTTCAAAAACTTTAGTTTGGACATGATTTCAAACTTACAAAAAAATTATAAGAATATAAGAACATACAACAATGCCCTTATTTCCCCTGTTGTGCACACTTTACTCTAATTTATTATTTGCACTGCCCACCCCCTACGCGTAAATCTACATATGTACATATAATACCTTTTCCAAACATTTGCAAGTAAGATCCATGCATCACATCACATTACCCTTTAATAGTTCAGTTCAGTGTTTATTTCCTAAGAATAGGCTATTTATTCTCTTGCATAGTACGCTCTTCAACCTCAGTAAATTTCATAGTGCTATGATACTCTAATCTGTCCATATTCCAATTTTGTTAATTGATCCAATAATGTCCTTATAACATTATTTACTTCCATGCTAAATCCAGTCTATGATTGCATTTACTTTTATGTCTCTTTAGTTTCTAAAAGGCATATTTTTCTACAGGGCAAACATGCATAAGCACTAAAAGGGTAACCTTGCTTTATTTCTTTTAATAACAGGAGCAAACAAACTCAGTCCACTTATGATATTTGATGTTGTAATGACAAAGAAATAAAATGTTCATCCTTTGAGAATGTTGTACTTATTTGTGTGCCATTTGAAAGTGAATGTTTAATTTTCCAAGTTACCTCATTGTATCCTGGTACCTTGGTTCCTAGAAAATGCTCAAAGACAAGCACATTTTTTTCTTCCAACAAGTTTAATTTGAGAAATGTACAAGAACAAATAAAAAATTCCAGGGCAATATTTTAGTTATGGATGGGAAAATAGAATTTTTGGAATTCTAATTGATTCTGTGCTTTTCTAGGTTCAATTTTTTTCAGAAAAATGCCACATATATTTACACAAGAAAAGTTTTACCAGTAGTTTTAAATGCCTGTCACATTTTTGGGACAAAAAAGAAATTTCTCAGGAATAAAACCCCCAATGCCATCTTTCAATGAAGTGGGCAAAAAATAGGAAGTTATCTTAAAAGTTGGACCCGAGATTTAGCTCAGTGGTTCTGTTGCCTGCCTCGCAAGCGCAAGGTCCTGAGTTCGATCCCCAGTACCAAAAAAAAAAAAAGTTGCATTAGTCTCTCTTTGTAGCTGCTTTGGTTCTTTTATTTTTGGTAGCAGGGATCAAACTCGGGTCCTTGTGCTTGCAAGGCAGGGGGTGGAACCACTGAGCTAAATCCCCAGCCCTGTAGCTGCTTTGGTTCTTTATTCTGCTCTTCATAACAGATTTCAATAGAAGGGACTAGAAGATTTGAATTGGCACGATGCATGTTTTTATGAATTCCATGAAAAGAAAGGTTTCCGTGAATGTGGGAGAGGGTAAGAAGAGTGGTGTTCACGTGCAGACACAGTCTTCCAAAGCCAATGTGTGGTGAATGGCTCAGTCAGGTCCCATCGTTGGGTTGGAGAGTAGTTGAAGAGAATGGGCTCTGGAAAATAGGGTTAAGAGATGGATTGCAGATGGTGGAGATTGGGATGGAGTCTCTTCCATAATCTTTCAAATTAAACAAACAAAAGCCACATGGGAAGAAAGCTGTTTGGTACCTCTTAAGTGAATGGACTCCATGGTCTGCACCCCAGCAGGGAACACATTTCTGAGAATACACACAAAGGAGAGCACACGGGAACCGGAGCTTGTGTTTGAACTGCGGATAGAGATGAAACTAGTCTGAGCAATATGCTAAGAGAAATGAATCAGGCACAGAAGCTTAAATCTTGCATGATTTCTCTTATGTGAGAAACCCAAAGTACAAATAATTGAAAGGGCAAAATAAAAGAGAAGAAATAGGAACCAGGGAGGTAGACCTTTTGGAGATGGGAAGGGGATCTAGGGATAAAGAGAGAGGGGAGGCAGGGAAGGGAAAAGGGAAATAAAAGGAATTAAGATGCTATAGGTGTATGTACTAACTCAGCAGGAAGAGTATTCACTAGGTATCACAAACATGCAGTAATAAAAAGAAAAGATGAAGATAGTCTGAAAAGCAAGGAAAGACCTGAATCTCAAGCATGAGTGAGTGCAGAGTGAAAATGATATCTAAGTCTGGGAGAAGGAGTCTACTGTGGATCTGTAGCTGTGGGTGAGGAGGAGGTAGGATGGGGCAGAGAGCTGTAGTGTGGCATTTTTAGACTTTAAAAAAATACCAAGGTTTTCCAGTTCTTTAGCTGGCAAAATTTAGCTCTGGGATCTAATGTGGATTAATTCTTATATTTCAGGGCATGAACTCATTTTTTTTCAGTGTCAAAAATCAACATCATGTTATTTTTACTTTTATGTGGTACTGGGGATTGAACTCAGGGCCTCTGCACTGAGCTATGTCCTCAACCTCTTTTTATACTTTTATCTTGAGACAGGGTCTCACTGAGTCACTAAATTGCCCAGCATGGGTTCAAACTTTCAATCCTCCTGCCTCATACTTCCAGAATGCAGGAGTTACTGGCGTGTGCCTTTTTTATCAGAAGGAAAGGAGTGCTCTTAATGAGTCCTCAAGGTGGTCATTTAGTGTGCATAGGAGTGTCCAACACATGAGTCTGGCTGAGTTTGGATACTTGCCTTAGAAAATTGTTAGCCACAGGGTGTTCTAAGACTTCTCATCTGCATTTCAGGGGTTGGAAGACCAGTTTAGTGTGGGGAAACCTTAGTGTATTCCTTCCGAAGCTTCTTAGCAAACATACTCTTAGCTCCTCTGACCTCTTGTGGAAGTCAGGCCTAACATGGAGTGAATTAGGCAAGTTAGATAGAACCACAGCCATCAAACTTTTCTTCCTGTGTGATTTCTACAACTCAATCTAATTCTTTTATAAACCAACTTTACAAGGAATCAAATCTGGAATACAGGTCCACATTTTTCTTAATGTGTAGTATAAGGGGGAGTCAAGATTAAATTTATTTAAGTGGCCTCAGTAAACATTGAAGGCTCAGATACCATATAAATAGTGATGTTTAATGATCTTTGGAATTTCTTTTCAGTCTTTCAGTATTGTGTCAGAGGGAACTATGAGCTAAAGATAAGTAAGTCTCACTTGTAACATGATACCTGACAGTATCCATGCATTTCCAGAAAGCCAACTTTGTTTCTCCATTTTAATAATTCATGAAAGAGGAGAGGGTGTGTTTCCTTCAAAGGCAGGTGAAGTGGGTCTTTATCAGCCCATCAGTTCTTTTCCTGCCGTGACTCACAGATTGATGGCAATGGTGAAATTTCCTTAGTTTCATATAATATTGTTTGATGTTTAGATAATCATGCTGGCTGTTTTGACTGTTTTTCTTTAGAACTTTTATAGGAGAAAAAATAAAACATCAGTAAATAAAAATTAAAATTATTTTTATGGTTGATTGACATACAAAGATAATTTATATGCCAATATACATATTGATTTGACTGTGAAATTAACATTTAGGTTAAAAATAGTTGAATAAGACCAAATTTGATAAGGTAAAAATTAAAATATATACAAGCATATTGCATTTCTACTCATTAGACAATGTAGTATGTTTCCATTATATTGAAAAATATAATCACTTCCATGTTAAAATACCCAGTAGACTAATTTGTAGAGTATTCAAGTCAATAGGAGTCATTATTCTACCAAGTGCAAGCAGTGGATTCCATTCTGTGAGGGAATTTGGGGCATGGGTTTCTATGGACTAAAATTTTAACGGTGAAGCTCTAACTTGCATTGTGATTGTTTTTGTGGATGAGTTATTTTAGCAGGTAATTTGTTTTAATGAGGTCATAAGGTGGGGTCCTAAGTATATAGGGTTGGTGGACTCAGAGGAAGAGGAAGAGAGGGAGATTCTGTCTATGTGTGTGGACAGAGGAAGGACACAGCAAGGAGGTGCCCTCCACAAGCCAGGAACAGGGTCCTCACCAGCAACCAAATTACACTGGATCCTTATCTTGAACTTCTGCCCTCCAGGACTGCGAGAACATAAATGTCTGTTGCTTAATCCTTTTATTCTGTGATATTTTATTATAGCAGCCAAAGCTAAAGACAGTGTTAAAGAGCAGTCAGAGGCAAAAGGATATCCCAGCAGCTATGCCATCTGAGCAAGCTTGTAAATAGATTTTTGTCCGGTGAGTAATGAGGAGGGTATTATGAGGGGCTCTGAAGATGTTGTGAAAGAGCTTCCTGCCAGGAGGATGGGGCAAAGGCCAGTGGGTCTGGTGAGCTACACACAGCCAGTATTCTTTACATTAAAATCCAGCAGAAGCCAGAGGTTTGAAAGCTTTGCATTTTACTCTAAGGAGTGTGAATTCACTTCTGCTATTATCCTAATAACTTCTGCTTATGGATTCTATGAGAAGCTGCATCAGCCTTTTGTGTATATGTTGAGCCAAAGAGAAACACTGAGAATTGAGTGGTTATTCCAAGATCTGTCTGTCCAGTCTAGACCTCTGCCCAAGTTTATGGTGTTGGCAACAGAAAGGTAATGAAGGGTTTGTGCCATTCTTCGTTCTGCCCTAAAGAGGAAGTGACAAGGGCAGGAGAAGACAGGAGAGGGCAGCAAGGAGAGGACAGGTGTGGGTGATTTTAGCAATTTGCTCAGTCAGATTTGAATATGACTTGGGCAGTGCAGGAGAAAAATTGAAGGGAGGAGTCTAAAATAACTCCCAAGTCTACTTGATTTCACCTGCAGAGAAGAAGCAAAGAAGTTGGCCCTGAGTGGTTAAAGTTTTGAGTGCTACTGAGACACCTGGAAGATGTCTGTCACACAACTTAGTGTGGGGCTTGTGAAGAGGTCTGGGCTGGACAGGTGGGCTTGGAGAGTAGCAGGTGCTTCAATGCTCAGTGCTCCTCATCTTCACCTTGTTCTCGAGCTCAACAGGTCCCCAGACCCCATCATCCTTGTAGTAGATTCTATAGATGGAAGATGTTAAGGGCCTGGTTCACTCAAAGCCTTGGGAATCCACATTAATTTTTTTCTCCAGGCTAAATCAGTGGTGTAATGTGAGAGGTGTTTGTGGTGGAGAAGGAAATATTTACTCACTTAAATACTTAGGAAACATCAGCCGAAAATGGTATGGTGAGGTAGGAATTAAAATTGTGCCAGGCTGAATTTCCTGTGCAAAGGTAGAGGCATACAGTTAAAAAAAGTGGCATGCTTTTCAGACAAGGCACTTTTATGCACTTAGGAGAAATGATAGTGTTGTATACATATCTATTGAATTAGAATTTAATGCTGATTCGTAGCATTATAATTTATTGTGCACATAAGACCATGGGAACTCACAGGAGCCCCTGTGCTCAGGAGCTTAGGTAGAAAGAAGTGAGGGGGTACAGCATGAAGCCAAATGCCCCCTATCAGACCCAATAAAGGAGGGGCTGGGATCCCAACAATGTTATTGTTGGAGCCTGTCATAAAGCATGGATATCAGGTGGGGAGGGATCTCAGGTTGGATATGGAGCACTATGAACACCAACTGGCAATGCTTTGGTATTAAACTGGACAAGACAGGAGCTGTTCCTGGGAAGTGAATGGAAAGGGGTCTTTGAAGGGATGGGACAAGGGAGAGAGAGCTGGAGGGTTTGAAACAGAGTGTGGATGGAGGGGGAAGAGGAGGATAGGATACATTCATGATCAGAGGAGGGTGACAGGCAGTCCTGGCTCATGATGAGGGGGAAGGGAGACAGGCTGAACACAGGTTCCATGGTGGAAGGTAAGGAAGAAGAGAAATGATACCCAGTTACTCCCCACAATGACAGAGGACACCCTATTAAGTGCACTCACGGGCAGGGATGTGAGAGAAAGCCTGATAGGAAACAGCCTGAGTATTTGATGGCTCAGGGAAGGAGAAAATAGGGTAAGATCTTTAAAGTTATGGAGCAGGGCAAAAGCAGCACATTTGTGTAGGGGTTGAAAAATGTGATACTCTTGTCATAAGAGTCACAGCTGCACTTGTGTAACAAAAGACGGGTCAGTAAGTGAAAAGTACAACATCTTTATTTAATGGAAGCTTTAAGCAACATGGAAGCCTTCAGAAATGAAGAGCCAAAGACCCGTGGAAAACTGTTTGCATTCATAAGATGGATGTAGCTTGGACAACCATGTAGAAATGTGGTCAGACAACAGGATGTGAGCTAATGGTGATAGACTACAAGGGCAAAGCCAGCATGGCCTGTTTGTTCATTTTCATAGCCTCTCTGTGCAGCATTCCTTCCTCCCCAGTTGAGGCCAGGATTCTTCTGGAAAGAGGGTCTGTGACTCACCGTTAGATAAGACAGGTCAGAGAATTTCTTCATGCCCAGCTCCTAGACAGAAAGGAAGGGGGAAAGCAGAATAAATCCTATGGCTGGCTTTGGAGAAAGGGGTCCTAGTGCCCTATGAGCCACCTTGGAAAGAGGAATCTTAGTTTCTGCAGCCTGTCTTCAGGGAGAGAGGAGCAAGAGAAAGGACAGGAGACGTTCAGAAGGAGATGGTGCTAGAGGCCCTTCTAATGTACTTCATTTCAAAGCACTCAGCAAGCCAGCGTCATGCTTCAGGATGTGTTTTCTGAGCCCCAATATTTGCTTTCTCCTTGGGTAGAAATAGAAGAGGAAAAATTGCCATCGACCTTAGGATTTTTATAGATGGGCTAAATGAAGTAATAGAATGATTCAAAGTGAGATAATGAAGGACTGTTAGTACTAAAGGGATCCTTTAACCTCCAAAATATAAGATTGGATTTTTCCCACTGTGAATGATAGGAAGTTAAAGGTTCTGGGACAAGTGGGATAAATCCAGCCTTTTTATGGAAAAGGAGGAAGAAAAAGAAGTAGGGTCAAAAAAATGACAAAAAAGGAGTCTGGAAGGTGAAAGAAAAGGCACCGTGTAAGTAGACAAAGAATGTTGGAGTTAGGAAGCCTTAGATTGTATCCTGATCTGGTTTCCATTTGGGTTTTCCCAGCAATGCTGGCCTCTCCAAGCTGATGCTTCCAATTCTTTCATATGAGGCCTGTCATAATTCTGAGGGATTAGACAACAGTCTGAGGTCAGCCTTCAGCAAGCATGAAGGCTCTTTTGAAATTTTTGTTATCTTCCATCCTATAATAGAATCTGTCTAGGGAGTCATGAAGATGATATGGTGCTGGAGCCATTGGAAGGATAGAATACACTGGTGAGGACAGAGAAAGAACACAGAGGTACAAAGGATTCTGATTCTTCAAGGTCACGTTGTTTGATAGGAAAAGCTGGAGACCTCCCCTGGACTGCAGTTACAGGGCTTGAAGGCAGGAACACACAGCCCCCAGAGACATCTTGGTCTTTTTCCACCTGTGCCGAGTTCTGGCATCTTAGTTGTCAAAAGGCTGTAAGAACCCTGGAAGCCAGTTCTGAGTGCAGCGGATGCTTGTGAAGAGCATCCCTCTCCCACCTTTCCTCACGAGGTGCAGCTATTAATTACACTAAGTGACAAAGATTCTCCTTGTTGGATGACTGACACAAGAATGAATCTTTGTTACTGACTGCAAATAATAGAAATCTGATGGTGATCAGGAATCAGGCCAGGAATATGCACTCACTCCACACCATGCAATGGGTATGGCAGCTTCTTAAGAATCCACCTGAGAGGCTGCAGGGAGCCAGAGTGGCCATTATTTGGTTAAGCTCCTCACCAGGAGACACAGCCTCCCTCCCTTTCCTTTGCTTGTTCAGTCCTGGCACTGGAACAACCTGTCTCTTTACATTAGTTCAGTTCTGTAGAGAAAAAGGCATTTAGGAGGAAATCGTTAGAAAATCCAGGCAAGAATCCATTTTTAAAGTCACAAGTGAATGATTATTTTCTTATTGTGCTACTTGGAGCTGGAAAAATCATTTCTTTCTGTACATATTTTTCTTTTCCTTTTTTTTTTTGCTTTGTGTTTTCATTCTGCTTTAAACACACATATGTGCCAGAAATGAAAACATTTTCAAAGGGCAAGTTTCAAGGACTCCTAAGATAGGATCTGTTGCCAAATGTACATTTCCCCAAGATGTAGATGGCCGAAAAGGCATAGGGACACAATGAAAAGCATATGCTGCTCACGTTTTCCTTAACAAACCAAGAGTTAGAGGATTGGTCGTCTTGCCCTGAAACTCCTGAAATTAATGGTTCCCAGTTCAATGTTATCCTGTTTTCAGACATCGTTCTATTCATATTTTATGCCTATCTTTTAATCAAGGTTTTAAAAAGCTACTAAGAATAACTTTATTCTCCAAATGAAAAAAAATTATTTCATCATGTCAGTCTGTGACTTGACTTGTAACTTTCTCTGAATTATCAAGGCTGAAAAGGACATTCTCACCCAGAGCACCTGGCCTTTTGTTTCTAGCTCACAGACCCAGGGTGAAGCATTGACTTGGAAAAGGAACACATACTTGTTGAGGTAGGAAACCTTTTATTTCTTTCCTTCTGTGGCCTGCATTCAGGAATCACTTCAAACTCTCTCTAGGGGAAAAAAGGTAGAACATAAATCCATTTGTGAAAATCAAAGAAGTCAAAGGTGGTAGGTTTGCTTAGAATTCTATGTTGTTACCCAGTGTGCGTGAGTGCCCTCTATTCTTAACTATGCACTTTCCAATGGGAAAAAAAAATCATTTTTGGTGAGTTGTATTTTCAATACCTTTTTTTAGCTTCTGAAAAAAATTTTCTTGATCAACAAGGAGTCAATACTTTTAATTAGTATTTGTCATTTTGTCAAAGAGTCACAAACCTGCATGGTGGCCATATCCTTCCTGGGAAGGCTTCCATGCAGCTGCAGTCTGCTGGCTCCCTGGAGACCTCTTCTCTCTCTGGCAGGACTGTGGAGGCAGAGCTGGTCCACAAAGTGCCACAGGTGACCTTTCCCCTTGGAATTATCTGGCTTTCTCAGCTCTGGTTAAATTTTGTCCTCCACATCTTGATAGGCCATGGAAAAAGAAACTAAGAAAAGGTTTCACCTTTGCTGTTAAAAAGTTGTGACCTTTGCTCACATTTGCCAGAGAAAGTGCTTATAGCACCAATTAACATGAATTATTAACTCCAAGATTAATAATTTATTAGAAACCTAAAGGCCTTAGGCACTGCCAGATCACACTATTGGAATAAAAAAAAAGAACACAACATAAGTCTAATTATAACAATTTGTGGATAATGCTTGAAATAAGTAATGGCATTTAGGTTTTCTAAAAGACTTTTATTTGCCCTCTAATACTGCATTGGCTGAAGAGTCACACAAATTTACTAATAATTCCTATAGTGACTTATGCAGATGCTGGTTTTAAAAACCCTTTATTTAACAAATACTCATATACTTCTTTCTTTGAATTAACTTCTATTCAAACACTTGCACATATTAATTCATTTAATGAATCCTAACAACAATTTGAATTAGACACTGTGATTGTCATCCACATGTTATAGAGGAGGTAAGGACAAACCCAGAGTCACAAGGGAAGATAGATGGTAACTGGTTTTATCAATTTGGCTGGGTTGTTGTAACAAAGTACCACAAACCAAGAGGCTGAAGTGACAGGCATTTATTGCCTTATGGTAATGGTGGCCAGATAGGGAGACCTAGATGTCAGTATGGTTGGTTCTTCCTAGCTGCTGGTGGTTTGCCAGCAATCTTTAGCATGCTGTGGCTTGTAGCTGCATCACCCTAACCTCTTCCTCCATGTTCCCATGGTGTTCTCCCTGCAGACAAATTTTCTCTTTTTATAAGGAAGCCAGTCATATTGGATTAGGACCTATCCTAATGACCTCATTTTGAACTTTTATCACCTCTGTAAAGATCTTGCTTCCAAATAAAGCCACATTCTGAGGTGCTGAAGGTTAGAACTTCAAAATATGAATCTTGGAGATGAGGCACACCACTCAACCCATAACACTGGTAGAGCCATGATTATAACCAGGGGGTCTTGTTTGGACCTGTGCTCTTCACCACATGCTGTGCTGCTTCTCCTCTTCGGTTCTTTTGGAATACATAAAGCTCATTTTCAATTTAGGGTATCTTATTGACTCATATCCCAAAACTGCCCTTCGTGTGGGTGCTCTTGGAGACAGTATCCTTTTGAGCTCAGGTAGACACCTGCTTAATTAGAAGATCACGCTTGTTTACAGTTAGTCTCTAAATGCTCTTCAGACTAAGAACGACTATGCTTTGGAGTTTAAAATCTTTTTCAGCTCTTTCTTCTACATTCCCAAGAAAATATTTTTTGAAATTTGTATTTTAAAGGCATTTTAGCAGAGAGAGGTCTAATTACTTCCTTTTGTTCCCTTCCACATTCCTGTTTTTGGAGCCAGGATGAGGTAATACTTACAGCACCTCTGTTCCTTTGCAAGTCCACCTGATCTCTCACATCTTGAAATGGGAAGAGGGAAACCAAAAAGCCTGTGAGTTCTGATTCTTTGGCCTTTTACCTTAATGTGGAAAGACAAGTTGAAAATAGAGAAAAGAAAAAAAAGTAGAAAAGGGGGAACCAGGAAAAGTGAAAGAACAGAGTTTGAAAGAACTTTGCATAATGAAAGTAAAAAAATAAAGTTTAGGAAATTATAGTTTGCTTCATAAAATTCCATTTTCCAAAGGAGCAGAGTAACATTTCACATGTGGTTATTGTAATGATAAAACCCGGGGCAGAGTTTTACATGCTCCAAGTCTTCTCACTGTACCCACTGGCCACTGAGCTCATTCTGACAGGTGTCCGGGGGGCCTCATTGTACAGATTGCCTTCCCCAAACTGTGTGCTGTGTTTGGCTCCCAACCTCAATATTTTTAGGAATTTTCTTTTCTCTTCTATTTCTTTCTTTGTGTGTTCAGACTTAATAGCATTTTAGTGCAATTTATCTGTCAGGTTATTCCGTTTTTCTTCTTTTCTGAATCAAAGAATGTCAGAAAAGCCATGCTGGAGAAGGCCAGGTTGATTGTAGGAATTCATTCCTATTTTGTTAAAAAAAATTGTCCACTCCGTTCAGTTTGTTTACAATTTACTCTGCTCTGAAGGCAGAAGTCATGGAGTCATTTCTAAATTGACTCTAACAGAAGAGAGGGGACAGACAGAGGTCGCTACTGTGAATGAAGCTCAGGGCTGGGCCCTGGCCTCTTGTGTCCTGCTGGGTCTCTAAGGGGGGACATCAGATCTGTTTAGGAATGTCTGACTCTTGCCTTGAAATGACTGGCCTAGAAATTCAATCAGATTCTTACTTCCCTTGCTGTCTTAGGGACTGCTTTCCTTTGGGAGCCCCAACAAATGCTAATCCAAGCAAAATGTAGCAGATTGATGGGTTGCAAAAATGGCCACCACCCTTCATTTCCTTGTATCTGTGTTCTCTGTCATTTGACTTTGCAGCTCTACTATCAAGGGAGAGCCTGTTTCCCCTTTCCTTGAACTTGGGCTACCTTGTGACTTGACTGGCTAATAGAACACAGCGGAGGTGATGATATCCTATTCCTGAGCCTAGAACCAGAGCTCTGGGAGTCTGGGAGCTGCTGTTCTTCATTGGAACCCTGCTCAGAGGACTCATGGAGAAGACCACAGTAGCCTGTTGGATGATGAGGAAGCACATGGAACAGGCATCTCAGCTGAAGCCATCGCAGTCTCTAGCTCATTGGTGGTGAATCTATGGCACATGTGCCACAGTGGACTGTTTATGTCATTGAAAGCTCTAAGAGGTTCACTATCACTGCTCTACCAGCCCTCAGCTGACTCAGCAGCTGAGCGTGGGTACATGTGTGAGCCTAGGCAAAATCTAGGGAATCATCCAACTGAACAGTAATAGCTAACTGATACACTATCCTGGGAATTTGATCAAGTGTTATGTTTTCTGGTCCCTTTCATTGCTGGTGTTTGTTGACACAGACAGCCTAGCATTGGTGGTATCACCTCTGCTATTCAGATCCCTGAAGTCATCTTTGGGCTTCTTTCTTGTGGTAGAGATACAAGATGCAACATTTCGTACTTTACTTTGGATGGGATGCAAGAGAAGTGCAGAGGGTGCCAAAATCGAGGAGGTGCTCACTCTCAGGTGCATGCACATGTAGGGAGTGTCCCTCACAATTTGTTCCCTGCATACCTCACTGACATCAGCCTAGTCCTAGCTCTGCCTGGATGGAGACATCTAGGATGGTGCCTTCATAATCGTGACCGCCGCCCACCCAAGTTCTTCTGAACCCTCCAAATTGCAGAAATAGTCTGTCCTTCCTGGGAAAGGCTGGAACTCCCTCTTGCTTGAAGACAGTGCAGAGACCTCTTCCTTGCAAGATCATGATAGCCTCCCTTGGGATGTTCTCTACTTCCCCTCCCGACTCCTGGGCCCTCCATCACTAGGGTCCCATCACAAGATGCCTGAGGATGAGCTGGGCCAGATAACTGAGGAAAGGGGCTTCAAGATCCAGGAAGGGCCTGGGCCTGAGGGTGCTGGGTCACAGACTCTGAACAGAGATTGGCTAACGGAGAGTTTATTGACTTGGGAGGACTCTTCAGAGACATAGTTCTGGTCAGGGACCCCAGGAGACCGTATAACCTTGCTACTGGATTGCCCAGCACTGTCTCACCATTTCCTGTCCTGAACTCTCCAGAAAACTGATTTGCTAGGATGAGGACTGTGAAGTGAGGAACTTCAATTCCTTGGAATTGGAAAGTGTAAAATCTATAATCTATAATCTATAAATCACCCCCTAAATCTATAATCACCCCACCCTGGTGCTTGGCATTAATAACTTATTTAAATAAAAAGGTTAAAAATTCTTTATACTCTTGCAAGTGTTGACTATTTACTCTCTCATTCCCTGATTTCTCCTTCTCTTTTAGTCTACTGAATTCCAAACTGTACTTACTCGAGTCCTCTTTTAGTTTCAGAAAACCTAGTGGACCCTTTCAGACCTTACATAATGACATAAAAGCTTCATTCTCACCACATTTTTCATCAGAATTCTGTGTAGGTAGGAATTCATCTTTGCTTAGCATGGTTGACAAAATAATGCTCCATTTCCCCAAAGATGTCCACACCCTAATCCCAGAACCTATGGATATTTTATATTATGTGGTAAGAAAGAATTAAGGTTGTTCATCAGCTGGCCTTGAGATGAGGCAGTGATGCTGGGTGCCTGACTGGGCCTGATATCATCATATGGACGCTTCTGAGTCAAAGAAGGAGATCAGAGAGAAAGATTTGAAGATAGTATGCTACTGCTACTGTCTTTGGAGATGGAAGAAGAGCCTACAAGCCAAGGAATGCAGCAGTAGGCAGGCAGTTGGTACATGGTTGAAGCCTGCAATGAGGGAGTCTTCAGAAGCCCAGAATCTGTCCTTACAGGGTTGTCACTGCTAGTTCTGAAGGTGACACCCATGGGAATAGCTTCTGACAATGTGAGGGGATTTCAGCTGGAAATGCTGTTGTCCTCCAGTGGTTGTAGAGCTGGGGTCTGAGCGGAAACTGTGAGAGGTCCACCTCTGAGGTGAAAGCTAACTGCAGAGGTAAAATCACACCCAGGAGATGGGCAAGACAGCCAGCACTTCTGCAGACTGGAGAAAGGGACTCACTTGTCCCCAAAACCCATTCTGTGTACGGAACTAAAGATGACTTCTTGACCTGTCATATGGATTTGGTGGTGTCCTCCAAAATTCATATATTGAAGACTTAATCCTGAATAACATCAGCATAAGACCTTTTTGGGAAATGGGGTGTTTATAGAAGGAATCATGTTAAAAGGATTAGGTTGGGCTCTAATGCAATGTAACTGTTTTCTCATTAAAAGGGAAATTTGGGCATAGAGACATTCACTCACAGGGGAGGATGCCCATATGTGAAGAGACACAGGGAGAAGAA